GTGACTTGATTATTCAAGTGACATGACTAGAACTTTGTGTGGATATTCATCTTTTCTTAATAGAGTCTAAGACCTATTCGCAAGTACTGCTCTTACTTATTATCTTGTAATTGTTTTTTGCTGATTTCTAACACACAGATTCCATCAAATCCACCCTCACTCTCCTGATTTGTAAGGAGCTTTTCATGTCCTAAAATACTCCGATCCATGCTTTCTGCTCTGTCTTACTGGCTTGTTTCTCGTTCTGGCATAGCAGTGCATAATTACTCTAGCCCTGCAAAGATTTTAAAGCCTGGCAGTCAAGTTCCTTCCCAGGTCCTCCCAGATGAAATGTCCAGCCACCTCGTGAAAGATCTCCCCTCTATCCCCTCTAGGATTCTGACTGAGGAAACAATGATTCCATATATTAACTGGAGAATATTTTATATCTTTATATTTTTCTTTTATATTTGAATTTTTTAACTAAAATTAGCCCAGAAGCTCCATGCTTTGCTCCAGCTCCCCCAAATACAATTATCAGCAGAAGCCCAGGTTGATCTGGTCTTCACCTAAGGAACCAGAAGTTTTTTATACAGTCATATCTTGACACCCCAGTACTTTGAAACTCATCAAATTTGATATGTGACAGTTTCTGGCACAAAAATTTTGTCCTGACGTATTTTGTTGGATTGGTATGCAACATGTCTCCCAAGTACCAAGGTACCACTGTACTGAATTAGTAGGCTAGAAACAAGCAGCTAGGAGCTACCTGAAAAGCAAAAATGTGATTTGCCTTCTCAATTTAAATCACTGACTACAGATAAGATCCCCACAAGCCTGGGATTTCAAACTTCAGATCAAGAGAACATAACATTTTTAAGTATGCTAATAAAAAGCTCACAGTATTGGCAAGGGGTTGGAAAAAACTCAGAATCTCAAAACAAACTAAATGGAGATAGCAAACTAAATGGAGGACTAAAGAGTGAACAGGAATCTACTTATCTCTGAAGCAGGTAAACATAGCAATTTTCTTTTTATAAAAAAACAGTAACATACAGCTTACCTCAGGGATGGAAAAACAGAATCCTGAGCCCTTACCTGATGCCCATTAAAAACAAGATTTGTGTTTTCTCCTGTGACAGCCAGGGATTTAAAAGCCAGTTTTGCTATTGAACTATGACTCTTTACTTGGGCCTATACGTGCCCAATAGGTAACTAGGAACAAAACAAGGACTGACTTTCATTTTTATCCTTTGCTATTATAAATCTTGGGCTAAGTGTCTTCTCATCTCTGCAAATAGATAAGTTAATCACTTAGGGGTGTCTGCCTAAAAGTTGGGAAAACAAGGCTGATTACCCTGAATTTATATATGCTCCCTCCATTCGAGATTAAGGAGACCAAGGTGGAGGATTTTCAGGACTATGCCCCAAAGTCTCTAACCCTTGTTCTGTATCTGACACCTGTGGTTTCCTGAGAACAAAACCATCTTCCACTCATAAAGACTCTGGATCTGTGACACGAGGACTGAGAAACTATGACACCAGCACAGAGGTAATGTTCAACTGGATCCAGCCTGTCAGCCTAGCCTTAAAAACCTGGCTTCCTGCCATTCCAGAGGGGTCACTCTGAACCCCTATATTAGCAACAGTACTTCCTGGTGAATGAGGCCATTCTTGAATGTCCACAGTACTCTCTCCCACACCATTCCCAACAGAGGCTGCACTCAACAGGACAAGGCTCAGTAGCAAATTGCCTGAGTTGGAACCCGAGGCTCAACCACAAAAATGTGTCTGTGTATTGAAGACCAGAAAGGCAATTATTTCAGAGTTCTGCTTTCTTTGCAAAACACTAGGAAGCACCAACATATTTTCTGACACTCATTAAGATTTATAGCTTTCAGTCTGACATGGTAGCACACTCCTATAATCCTGGTACTTTGGGATTAGAAGGCTGAAACAGGAGGATCACAAATTCAAGCCTAGCCTGGGTAACTCAGTAAGGTGGTGTCTTAAAATAAAACATTAAAAACCTGGTTATGTAGCTCAGTACAGAGACCCTGGATTCAATTCCCAGTATCACAGTGTGTGTCAGAAGATGCTTATAGCTCTCATTGGGAATAAACACTTGTGTTTTAAAACTCAACATTATTTTTTCTTGTACTGGAAATCGAATTCATGCTTGCCTGGCAGGCGCTTATGCCACTGAGCTAAATCTCCGCCCAAACAACATTATTTTTGAAAGTCTAAACTTTTGTTTTGGTTTGTTTTTTGTTTCCTACCTTTTTGAGACAGGGTCTTGCTAAGGAGTGTGGGCTGGCCTTGAGCTCACTTTGTAGCCCAGGCTGGTCTTGAATTTGCAACAATCGTCCTGCCTCAGCCTCCCGAATACTGAAGTGCAGGCATGTATCACCACACCAGGCTTGAAAGCCTAATTTTTAAACATCACTTTTTTTTCCATTATATTTGAGAACTTAATTTGAAGACATTTCAATTCCTACTTCATCTCTAAAAACAACATACAAAAGTTTTCACATGCAGGGAGTTTAGAATAACTCAGGGGAGCCCAATTCTGAAGGCGGGGCTTTCTTCCTCAAGCTCTCACCCCTCTCCGACCTCCCTCAGGAGCAGGGAGTGCTACGTGACCTTCCTAACAACCTTCTCACAGATCCAAAACTGTGTAGCAACAGCCCAGGGCAGAGGAGGAAACAGCGCAAAATCTCAACAAGGTTCGTCCAGGATTGCTAGGTGAATAAAGGACAGTTTTCCTTCAAGGACACGATGTTTCCCAGGGAATTACCTGGATAACCTCTGAGAAGGCACAGGTATGTGCAGAAACAGATGCAGCATTCAGGACGGCTCTCAGCCCAGTGTGACCAGCCCAGTGTTTCCCTCCCTGCCAGCAGCTCAGGGTAGCAACTCACTCCCCTCCAGAACTGGCTGCACAATGCACACCTACTTGAGTGCGCTGAGGTTGAATTCGTAGGCATTGTCCCAGAAGAGCACCTTGCTGTGGTAATCCTTGTCAGCACTGCAGGGTACCAGGTGCAGGGCAGCAGTGGTCGGCCAGATGACCCCGTCCTCCTTCAGCCATGTGTCCCGGGCATATAAGATCGACTCAATCATGAACTCGAACTGCATGGGAGGTGAGACACACAGGGACATGTCACCAGGGTCACAAAGTAACAATCCACCTGGGAGTTCCCATCTGAGCCTCCCCTACTAAGGTCAGGCTGGTGAGAAGGGTCTGTTCTATACCCACAACTAGAGTCACAGATGTGTGTCAAGATATCCCCTCCTGCTGGACTGGAAACTAAAGGGTGTCTAACAGCCAGGGAGAGTTTTCAGGGCTGAATGGGATCAGTTTGGTAGAAGGCATTTGCAGAATTCTCACTACTCTGAGATTGAAACCTTTCCAAAAGCACTGGAAGATCAGGCAAATGAGCAGAGGTCCTTTCTGGACACTAGAATCAGGGGTGCAGGTGCACTCCATCTCCCAGTGTCAGGACAGTGGGTCACTTCTGTGACAGAGGATCCACAGCCCCAAGGTCAAGCTTCCAGTCTGAAAAGAATTCACTTCAAACTAGGGAATAAAGAGAGCAATAGGGTGAGACTGAGGCCAAGAGTCCTTAGACTCAGGAAACAACAGAAGGACTCTGATTTTCTTAATTAATCAAAAAAGATTTTAGTCAGGTGTGATAGCACATGCCTATAATCCCAGCATTCAGGAGGCTGAGGCAAGAGGACTGCTGGGAGTTCAAGGTCAGCCTGGGCTACATAGTGGAATTCAAGAGCAGCCTGAACTATATCGTAAGAAACCTGTCTCAAAAAAAAAAAAAAAAAAAATCTGAGCAGATTTTTATTACTGAATAAAATGTTCAGTATTGAAAACTTAGGAAATTCAGAAATGCACAAACAAGTTAAAAATCACAAGTAAACTTGGTGTCTAGAAGGAATCACTGTTGTTGCCCTGCAATTTATCTCTAAATTCTTCCTACAGATACAAATCTACATACACAAAATGCATATCCATATACATAACTTAAAAATTTTAGTTTTTGCTACCATACAGCAAACTGTTCTTTCTTACTATACAGCCTATATGAAGTCTGGCACTTGTGTACATCTGTATACACACAACCAGAGTCAGGATACACAACCCACTACCTCAAAACAGTCTCCTGACAGCCAGTCCCTCCCCAACCCAGACTCTGGAAACCTCTGATCAGGCCTCCACCCTGCAGTAGTGTTTTCTGGAGCACAGCATGTGGAACACAGTCACATGGTTAGGAGCCTTTGAGACAGGCTTCTTTCACTCAGTGGAAGGTCCCCAGGTTCATCTGCTGGACTGTATGCTTTGAAGGATTCTCTCCATTGAGTGGATGTGCCAGCATATCCACTGACATGCTGAAGGACTCCTCGGCTGTTGCCAGCTTTTGGAAATCACAGTCATTCCATATAGGTTTCCATGTGAAGACAGCTTGCACTTCTCCCAGGTAAACAGCCAGGAAGGGACTCTGGGTCACAAAGCGAGTGCCACAAACACTGGAGGAGCCCAAACCTGCCCACAGTGATTCCCAAAGCCATCTACAAGGGTGAGCTGCTCCACATCCTCACCAGCACTTGCTACAGCTGCATTTTCTCATTTCAGCCATTCCTCAACAGCTGTTTTCTCACCGTGGTCTGAAGGTGCACTGCCCTTGAAACTTTCTTCATGTGATTGTCTGTCAATGTATGTCCACTCTGATGAGGCTGTCCAAGTTTTCTATCCATTGTTTCCCGGGTTGTTTTCTTCCTGTCAAGTTTTGAAATTTTTCTCTGTATATTCAGGATACACAATGGATGTATGATTTACAGTATTTCTGAACCTTAGCCTACCTTTTTATTCTCTTAACATGATTTTCTACAGAACAAATATTTTAATCATAATGAAATCCAATTTATCATCTAAAACATATGGATCATGCTCAGAGTCTGTCATAGCTACTTATCTCATTGCTGGATAAAATACCTGACACCCAAAGTTAAAGAAGGAAAGATTTATTTTAGCTTATATTTTCTAGAGGTTTCAGTCCAAAACTGGCTGGCTCCCAGACCTGATGGTTTGGCAGGGCAGCAGGGCAAAGCAGCACAGCACGTAAGTAATAGTCTTTAGCAGGGCAGCTGGGAAGCAGGAAGCAACAAAAGCAGCAGCATCACAAAGACTCTCCTTCTCTTTTATTTCATTCAGGCTAGAAAACCTACAAGTTAGCACCACCCATACTCAAGGAAGATGTTCCCATCAGCCACACCCAGAACAAATCTAAACAAGTCAGCAGACTCCTTTAGTTATTACACACCTTTAATCCATATTCACATACCCTAGATCCAGGCACCTCCAAAAAAGCCCCAGCTATGAGCACATAAGCTTTGGGAACAGACACATCCAGATACAAGCCATAACAAACCCATACTTAACACTCCGCCTCTCTCCAGGTCATAATGACTTTTTTCTTATAATTTCTTCCAAAAGTTTCAGTTTTATATTTACACACTTAGGTCTAGGATCAATTTTATGTTTAGTATCAGATGTGAGGTCTAGGTTGGTTCCTTTTGGTTCTGGATATGTTTGCCAACTATTCAACAACCTTTGCTGGAAACATTTTCTCCACTAAATCGATTTTGTACCTTTGTTAAGAATCAGCTGACTACATTTGTAGAAATCTATTTCCCTACACTGTTCCACTGACTTGTGTCTAACCCTTCATTAATGCCACACTGTCCTCAGTTGCTTTAAAATCAAGCACATAATTCTTCTAACTTATTTATTTATTTCTGGTCTTGAACACATTATGTAACAGAGACTGAGGTCAAACTCAGGGCGATCCTGCCTCAGCCCTCCGAGTGCTGGAATTATAGGCATGCACTATCACACCTAGCCTTGAGTTTCTCTTTTATTGTGCTGCTATTCTAGTTCCTTTACATTCCACACAAACTTACCACATATCTACTGAAAATACCTACTTGACTCTTGACTGAAATTGGACTAAGTCAATCACCCTGAAAATGGACGCTTGCCAGGTTCAGCCTTCCAGGTCCAGCATACTGTGTCTCTCCAATTCCTTAGGTCTCTTGACTTCCCCCATCAACACCTTGTGCTTCTCACATACAGTTCTTGCACATGTTTTATCCAGTTCTTAGCATGGTATTTAATATTTGTGGAGCTACTATAAGTAGTACTGCTTCTTTAATTTGTTTCCAGTTTTCAGGATATAAAAACAATGCTTTTACTCTGTAACCTTGCTAATCTTACTTATTAGTTGTAGGAAATATTTTTGTAGATTCTTTAGAACTTCCTATAAAGATAACTATATTATTTGGGAATAAAGATGGTTCTTTTGCAACCTGTTTATTTCTTCTTTTTTGTGTAAATTAGAAGTTCATGTGCTGTATTAAGTAGGAATGATCACCAGTGTCTTGTTCTTACTCTTTTGGGAAGAAGTACCAATTATTTCCCTCCTGTGTATGAAGTCAGTTACAGAGTTTTGTACATGCTCTTTATGAAGAGAGACAGTTCCCTGCGATTCACAGTTTGCTGGATTAAACTGATGTTTAAATATGTCGGGGTTTTTTTCGGTATTAACTAATATAATTATGTGATTTTCTTCTTTGGTCTGTAAATATGGTAGTTTACACTGATTGGTTTTCAAATTCTGAACCAGGTATGCATTCCAAGGATAATTTCCTGTAGTCTTATCCCTTTATCATATTACTATTAAATTTGCTAATATTTTCTTGAGGATTTTTACATTTATATTCATGAATTATTGGTCTATAGTTTTCGTATTTTTACAATAACTCTGGTTTTGGTATTGCAGCAATATTCAACTCATGAAACAAACTGACACACATTCCTTCTTCTCCTATTGTCTAAAATGGTTCAGAATTGGTGTTCTTTCTTCTTTAAATATATTGGTAAAATTCACCAGTAACATCAGCCTAAGATAGTGATGATTTTAGAGTTTACAATGATACAAACAGCTAGCTATGGCACATATGCCATAGGTTTGCCACTAGTGATTTTTAAGGATGAGTTCATTAGTTACTGGAGCATCCAGGTTATCTATTTCATCTGGGTAAGGTATGGTAAAGTCTGCAGTTTTCAAAGGAATCAGTGTACTTTATGCAAGTTGTTTAATTAGCATAGATACAGACCCAAGAAAGGGGAGTGACCAACTCAGGATCAGTTCAGAAACACTTCCAATTCTTGTCTCTTCCCCTAGGCTGTTGCTACTACAAAACCCTTGACCTTGAGCCTGCCATAACTCACAGCTGAATGAGGAGAAGATGCTCCTCTCCATCCTACCTACAAGTGAAGCCAGGTCACTGTTGCATGTAATGTAATAAAACAAAACTGAAATCATGCTGCACATACTCCTTGCACTTTAAAATCACCAATAAAGCTGAGGATTTAGCTCAGCGGCATAAGTACCTGTCTAGCAAGCCAAGGTCATGAGTTCAATCCTTGGTACCAAAAACAAAAAAAAAAAAAAACATCAATATGTCCTCAAATCTTAGCTCAATTAGTAAAAATTTTTCTAAAACATAACTTTACTGATCATATGGATGGTCACAATTATTACTACTACACCTTTTATTTGAATAAAATGGTGCTGCCATGAAGTTTTTGAACATAAAGTTCTATAAAAATCTGTTTCCTTAGAATACTCTCATTTAAAAAATGTTAACGCCTTTTTTGTGCTTGCTTTGGCAGCATATATACTAAATATTTTTAATGCTTTTTGACATGTTCTGCCCTATTTTACCTCAAGAAGCTGTATCAACTCTCACTCCCCAAAAGTGTGCATAATGGTGCACGTCTCCCCCAAACCTCTACAATTCTGGAGATTGTCAGATGTTAGATGATTGCCCAGACAACTCTGCAAGGCAAAAATAACTTATTCTCTCATGATACTGTATGAGTCTCTTTTTGTCTTCTGCAGTTCTCTGGATCATTCATTGCTTTTCTCGTCTCTCTCCATACTCCCGTGGGACACTCATCTCTTGCTTTCTTCATGCCTTGCTGGAACTCCTTGTGTCACATAAGCTGCAATTCTTATAACAGAATAGTTTCACTCACTTTACAATAATTTATTAATGTATAAATGGTAATTTTTCATCAAATATTTCTGTTTATGTTTTGTTCTTTAAACAACCTTTCTCACCCTAACATCAGAAAAACTTTAGTAGTTCTACATTTCCTTCGTCTTAAACAACTCTTTACCCTCAAGTTTAATGTTTGTGGTGTGAAGAAGGATTTGTTTTTTCGTAACTATTGTTTCACCTTTATCTCTGGCTGACTACACTCCTGTCTCCCCAAATGAAAGCCTGAGCTCTCACTCACCTGCCACCACTTTCTTCCAAGTTGGCAGTGTGACAGACAAAGGCAGGCTGTGTTAGAAAATAACCACAAGAGTCCAGCCGACACCCAGCAAGACCAGGGTAAGTGGTTGCCAAGGACAATACCAGGTTTCACAATCACTAACTATAGATTTCAAGCATCACAGGGAAACCTAAAGTGAGGAGATAGGAATGAAAGACTCAGCAAACCTAACTACAGAAACCACCTCATTGTGAGTTCTGGGTCACTGCACAGGCGCCCAGGGATGGCAGTTTCTACAACTCACAAGAAAGTGACATTCCACGGAAGGCAGTTTCTATGACTCCCAAAAAAGACATTAACTTCAACTTAGCTTCCTACACAGATATTTTTTTATTCAATTAAAAATCCAAGACACTGACCCAGTTTTATAAAAGAAATTAATTATAAACTCACCTTAGGAGAAAAATCAAAGCTAATGATGATTTCTGAAGATCCCTGAGGCAGGCTGGGATGTTTAGGTACAGAAGTTCCAAAACCCCATTGCCCCTGGTCAGCACAGGCCAGCCCTTACCAGCAGGCAGGTCCCCATCCATTCGGACACCAGTACGTCTACTTTCTCAGGCAGTACCACATCCTCCACCTTCTGCTGGAACACGGTGATGGTGTCGGCAAAGCCATTCTGCAGGACCAGTTGGCCCGTGTGCTGTGCCATCTCGCTGGCCTCCACAGCATATACCTGCAGCAGCAACATGCTCAGCAGTGCACACCCTGACCCCATGCAGTGGCCTGTGTCCTCTACCCTCCTCCTAGATCACAGTCAGCACAGAAAATGGCACGGTACTGAATAGCAGTGGGTGGTGCCACTGCCCCTAACTTCCTCGGGTGATGTCCAGGAAAAATGCAGTTTTTCATCTAGCAGTTTTCACCTGCCACCCATCCATGCTTCAGGTGAACAGACCCACCATTCCCCCAGCTTCCCTTCACTGAGCAAATCTAATCACTGTCTTGAGAGCAGCCTGTCTGAGAACACAGTGGCCTGAGGGGCAATTAGACCAGTCTCACACAAAGGGTACCTGCTGGTGGGGGAGCTGTAGCTGGTCCAGCCAGCAAATTCTCAGTACTTTCTACCATTAAACCAGCATCTTGTACACTGTCAGGCTCTTTGGAGCTGCGCCATGAAGGGAGGGCAGGGAGGCACAACACTGACTCCAGGATATAACTTGTTCTACATTTAACTGAAGTAGCAGTTCAAAATACATATCCCATAGCACAGCTTACTTAGTTACCTCCATTCCACCCCATGCCACTCCTAGCTGTACATGACCTGCCCATTCATCACAGCCACCACTTGCCTGACATGAGCCTCATCACCAGGACCACCAATTCATCCACCACCAATCTGGTAACAGCACCTATGAGACCCAGACACCACCTGCAGTGTAACCTTGTACCCAACTCACCACCTTGGGCCGTGCATGATGTGCACAGAATAGGCTGATGATTCCAGTACCACAGCCAACGTCCAGGATGACCTTGTCCTTCAGGGATTCCTTGTTCTGCAGGATGACACTATGATACTTCATTGTTCGGGGCTGGTCTGCCAACATTTCCAAATGAAGTTTCTAAAGGAAACACACTGAGCATCACTGTGAGGCCACAGAGGGCAGTCCAGTACCACCAGTGCAGTCCAGTACCACTTGCAGTTTCTCCCTATACTTCCCAAGGAGCAAAGTAAACAGAGAACAATGGGGACCACTCCAGATGGAGGAGCAGACATCTCCCCCATAGTCAGGGGGATGGTGCATCCTTATCACCTTACCACCTATCTATCATAAGAGAATACTGAACATGTCACAGGAAAGCTGTCAGGGAGGACAAATGAGCTCCTCTTCACACATAAGTTTGCTCCAAGACTGCCTGAGGAAGGCAGAAATTATAGCTGGAATGGAACTAACAGTCCTAGATGACACACAAGTTTGCCCCTAGACTGCCTGAGAAAGGTGGAAATTATACATTGGATAGAGGTAACAGCCCTGGCTGGCCAATGCTGCATGATAAAAAAGAAAAGCACTTGGGATCCAGGGACATAGAGAAAGACTGCCTTAGGATGCTGGCAGAGCCCCAGGCCACTGCAAGGATACAACACACCCCAGCATCTTCAGCTGCAAGACCCAGCTACAGAAGAAGCACCACTAGTGGGAGACAAGCAGCCAGGCAGGAACAGAGCCCAGGAGGGTTGCCCAGACTGTGCCCATACCTGGCTGGCACACACAAGAATCTGAATGAGGACCCTCACAGCTCCTCACAAAGACACCATTGTAGCATAAAATCAAAGGGGCAAGAGGGAGGAGGCTGGCAGGGAAAAAAATCAAGCCCACTCATCTGCCTACAAGCACCTACTTTAAACATAAGTACAGACTGGGCAAAACACAAAGGATGGGAAGGCATGCCACACTCACAACATGGAAGGAGAGTTGGAGCAGCTACACCGACGTCAAGCAAAATATATTTCAGGGGAAGGCATGTTTCCAGGTCACAACGACACAGGAATTGGCTCATCAAAAGGACATCATAATTCTAAATATTTCTGTGCCTAATAACAAAGCGTAAAACAATAAGCAGCAAAAATCAACAAGAATGCAAGAAACAGAGTTACAGTTACAGGTAGAGTTTGACACCCTCCTCAGTAACTGACTGAAGTGGACCAGGCACAGCATCAAATACTTACAACAGCAGCAACTACCCCAAAATGTCCAGAGGTAAATTTAACACAAAAAGTAGACCACTGTGTACAAAAACCTTAAAACTCTGAGATATGAAACAAGGTTTGAGCAAAGATGAGTAGACACCACAGAGACTCATGCCTCCCAAAATGCTACTCACAGTCTATGCAGCTCCAGACACAGCTCCAGCCAAGCTGGCTTAGGAGCACAAAATGATAGCAGCTTTTCAAAATAATAAATGACAAGGCTATCAGGAAGATGCTAAAATTAGAATGGCTTCCACCCTAACTCTCAGATTTACACAGCTACTGTGATGAAAAGAACAGTAGAAAAATAAGTGGATCAGTAAAACACGACAGAGATGCCATAGAAGATGCTTGAAATTTATGATAAATGTGGCATTTGCCCAGTTACCAGGAATGGATTAGCAGGTATTTGTAGCAAGAATCTAAGGCAGAATATCATCTTCTGCTTTATCACAAATAAATTACAGAATGCTCTAAGTATTTCACTGTTTAGATATATAACAGTTGTGGCAGAAAGTATCCATAAACCTTACCAAAAGAAATCTGTAAGCAGCAACTATCTGTGCTGGGAATGCAGACTAGGGAAGCTGATTTAGGCTGAAAGTTCTAACCATGTACGTAGATTAATAAGTGGCTTTTAATTATAATTTTAAATTTGGAAATACAGCATACATACAAAAAAGTAAATTAAAGGTATTAATTTACACAGTAAACTATTAATTAAGTGCATATTATTAAACAGTAACACAGCATACCCCAGGTGTTACTTACAGGATGCTTGCTGCACACTGAACCTTCCCACACAGCACTTGATCAGACACTCCTTGTGATAAGCACAGTCACCCAATTCCAGGCACAGACCCATGCTCCCAGTGTTACCACTCTGCTACATTCAAACCTTTATTTAACTGATCAAATGTCACTATATCTGCTTCCTCTACTCAAATGCTTCTGTACCTTTCACCCTACAAATAGCCATTTATGTCTAGCTTTAAACAGGTGCTGTTGTCTGAGCCATACATCACAGGCCCTTCTCTATAGCAGGAAAGTAAAATCATTAGTAAGTTGGCTATTTATAGGTATCACTGTTTCCTGATTTATATAATTTTTTACTTTTTTTTTTTTTTTTTGGTACCAGAATTGAACTCACAACCTTGCGCTTTCCAGACAGGCAATTATGGCATTGAGTTAAATCCCCATGCCTCTACTTCAATTTTAAAGCAAAATGAATTATTTCTTTTAAACACTGCTAAAATTCATAATCCTTTACTCAAATAATATCTCTAAACTGGGTCAACAAACAGCAGCTCTTGGGTCAAGTTCATTGCCAACTGCTTTTGTATAGCCTAAGAAAGGCTGCTGCATTTTTTGTGTGTTCTAAACAAACAAAAAAGATTTTTAGATATATGAAAGTCATAGGAAATTCAGATTTCAATGTCCCAAATAATGTTTTAATAGAGCACAAGCACATGCACACAGCTGCCTTCACATCACCAAGGCAGAGCTGGGCAGTAGCTAAAGAGATCTCAGCCAACCAGGAAGTTCCTCACTCTTTCTAAACAACCAGAATAAGCAGACCAGAAACTATTTTTGAAAATCTTGAGCCCAAAACTAAAGACAAAAATATGCCATGAACCCAGCTGAGCTGGGAATCCAGAAGGCCATACCAGAGTCCCGTAGCTGCCAAAGTACTCCTCATCCTGCCACGTATCCTCAGGGTCGTACTCTTCCACCTGCCTCCCCATGTGGTTCGCTGGAATGTACCCACAGCAGCCTGCCCGCTCACCCCACCACCAGTCAGCTGTGGTTTGTCTCAGGATAAGAATTTTTTCTCCCCTGAAAAAACTGAGCTGCAAAACAGTCAGAAGCAGACAGACATTAAAATCCAATTAAAAAAAGGAAGGGGAAAATATATATACATACATACACACAAGATTCATTGTAAAGAGGCTTGCGCTAATATTGTTTGTACAATATTATACTATAAATGCCTATATCTTGAACTTTGCATAACTAATTTACAGATAGCAACACACAATGTATTAACATTGTTACCCTATTATCAATTTGAAATTTTTTTCTCTTTAACATAAAAAAAGAAAAAGAAAAAAATCCAATAAAGAATCCAGTAATTCAAGATAAACTCCTGTCAGCAGTGACTAAATCAGGGATTTCAAATAGGGTCCACAGGTAATTCCAGCAACTGACAAATTATAAAAGTCACAGCAGGATTTAAGAGATGTTTTGTGGAACACCTATTTGAAAGAATGACACAGCTTAATTCATACTCTTTAAAAAGAAAGAGCAAACATGGCATAGCAGCACACATCTGTAATCCCAGCATCCTGGGTAGTTGAGGAAGGAGGGTCACAGTTTTGAGCCCAATCTGGACAATTTATCAAGCACTGTCTCACAATAAAAAGTTAAAAAAAGTACTGGGACATAGTTTAGTGGGAAAGCTATTGGTTCAAATTTTAATAGGACAGAAAGCAGGTGAAGGGAGGCAGACAGGAAGGGAAAACATTTTTTCAAATGGTTTTGGGTAGAATTTCTCAGTAGCCTTTTATCGTACTGTTATGCTGCAGCGAACTCAAGTCACAGGAGGCTCACTATGACATATTAAAGAAAGCAACTTCCAAACAGATGCTCTGGAGACCTTCTGTGTAATCAAAAGAAGCAGTGCAGCTGATACTTCTCCCTGGATGGGTCAAGGACCCCATTCCTCACCAGGTATCCTGGGTCAGAATCTGTGAAGCTGGGAAGTGAAGGACATACACAGATCCACATGGCTCAAAAGGTCCCACAGTTTTTTTAACTCTGTTATGACTCTGCAAAAGTTGTATCTGATTTTACCACCAAATATGTTGAAAGCCATACATCACATACGTTGCACAGCTACCTGGGTCTCATCAGTGGCAGCATAGTCTGCGATTGCCACAAACTCCTCTGGCTGTGGTTGCATACTCTCCTGCAAGAGCTGGGCTTCGCCAAACCCCATGGGCTCCTCTTCCTGCTCCTGCCATGGAGACACAAAGACAGCACCGTGGAGTTTCTTCTTTTCCATACAGGTGATTAGGATGGGTTCAAATAAAGGTTCCTATAACTAAGGATTCATTAGGCAAATCCCTTGAGTCATCTTTACCACCATAACTGAGGCTGTCACCTTCACTCCACCTTATTTTACATCTTTGATATGGCCTAAAGAGAATATCAATGGGACCAGCAAGGAAAGGGGTCTAGGACCCTTGGCTACACAGATGATGTTTCCTGAATGTAAAAATACACACAAGAAAAAAAACTGCATGGGCTTGGGTTCCAGAGACCTTTTCTCCATAGTACAGATCTGGACAGCACAGCCAAAGGCCTAGAAGAGGTGTTGTGACCTGGCATAAACTGCCATAAATACTTACGGAGCTCAGGCAACCCCACTGGGACCCATTCTATCGAGATCTGGAGAAACCCTGCCTTCTACCACATTCCATGAGGATCCAAAGTCCTGGAAGACAGCCCTAAAGGTGGCAGAGCCCTAAGCCATACATCCTAGCTCAACAGGGCAACCCATCCCAATTGACATACTTTTAGCAAGCATTCCTAAACATAAAACTAATTTTTGCCCACTTTAGGGAATATGTAAGTATATAAAAGAACATAGAAGAAAGCAAAAATATACTGTAACCTCATCCTGGGATTACAGACGACAATTAACATACTGGTATTTATCCTTCCAGACTGAAGAAAGTGTACATTAGCACATACACAGAGAACTTGCTGGAATCACACAGTTGCCTTATGATCTATTCCTCAATTCCTAATTCTGAATATTTTCCCTGATATTCAATATGCTTTTAAACATATATAATGTATAGATACTGTTATGGATTAAAAACTTGTGGTCAACTTAACATCAGCTAAATTAAATCAGCATGGTGCTGAGCATAGAAGTTCTACCTGAGGAAAGTTGTCGGCATAAACAGAGACATGGAGAAGATGAGTGAGGCGCTGTGGGTTTCTCTAAGGGTTGCTGTTTGAGCAGTTGGTTCTCCTGGAGGAGTTGTCATGACTAGCTTCCCCAGGATGAGTTCGACCATTGTCTCCGGAGGAGCTTGGGACCTTGTTGGTGAAAGTGGCTGTGGTTCACTTTGGGGGAGTTCTGGTCCTTACATTGAGCATTACTTCCTGGCTCCAGAGGGGAAGACATATGCCGTTTAATCTCCAGGACAAACTCATCATGCTGGATTTCTGGCATGTACTCGGCTATTTTTATCAGCAGAGGAGCTTAGGACCTCCACGTCACTGAAGATGGATGTGGTATTTTCAGGATAGCCCTGGTTCTTATTTTGAGTGTGAGTTCTCGGCTCCAACATAGAACCCTCAACCTACCAGCACAGCTCCTTCACCTTGCTGGCATAGACTTTCTAGCTTCCACTGCTGACCTTTGGGCCTTCCCAGCACAAATCCATAAAACTGGTGTGAATCCTTCTCATGGGCTCTAGATCTCCAGGTGGACTAATGGAAGGCACTGTTAGGGGCTCTAGGTTTTCATCTGGATGCATGCAGGACAATGCTGTGGGGTTCAGACCCTTGGCTGAATATTCCAGGTCTTTAGTGTTGTGGATAGATTTCCTGCACTTTCTTGTGTTAAACTCTGGGTGACCATCATAAAATAATATTATAAATTCTGTGTCCTGATTCTAATTGTTCTCCTCACAACCCCTGACTATAACAGATACACACATACAGTGGTACCTCAGTTCAGAAACTTAATTCTATGATTCTGGGTGCAAACCAAACTGGACAAGAACTGATCCAAAGTCAGTAGTTAGGTTTAATGTTGACCTTATGGAGAAATTTGATTTGGTGCTCCTCCAGGTTGGACTGTGATCAGAATCGTGCAGAGAATTAAGTTCATGAATCAAGGTACCTCTTGTACTGGGGGTAGAATCCAAGGTCTTCACACTGAGTGGCATTGCCAGCCCCCCACCCACCCACCACTTTACTTTTTTTGTGACAAGGTTTTGCTAAATTGCCTCAGCTGGGCTAGAATTTTTAGACCTGCTTAAGCCTCCCAGAATGATGGGATTATGAGCATGCATCACCACACCCAGCTCCAATCTATCTATTTCTGATACTGATTTAGTATTCTAGTCTATGAACTATCATAATTTAATTTCCTTTTGAACATTTGTACTCTTAGTTTTCTCTATAATTATGCTAAGATCAGTTTTCTTAAACATAAATCACACTTCCTGCACCTGACAACTTTCTTAGAATACATTCCTGAGTGTGAAGATAAGGATCAAGACTCTAGGCCTTTATGACTTTTGATTTTACTGCCAAATGCCTCCAAAAGGGCAGGGCTTCTCACTTCCTTATGGGGAGTGGAATTTGGCCATGTGGGTGGCAACTGCTAATTTACTGCACCTTCATCAGTAATAGATATTGATCATCTTCATCTCCATCACTGGAAGTAATATCTTTTCATTACTTCCATTTGCCTTTATTACAACTGTCAAGCATGTTTTTCAAAGTACTGATTGGCCATATTTGTATTTTGCTAATATCCCACTGTGTCCTTCACATTCTCTCTACTTCAGTTCACCACTCCCTTCCCACCTCCCTCACATGGTGAGCTCCATAATATGAAACCCTGCCTCAAAAAGGAACAACAAAAACAAATAAACAAAGACAAGACAAGGAAAAAGGGGGTAGGGGTTTAGCTCAGTAGTCCAAGTGCCTGCCTGGCAAGTGTGAGATAATGAGTTTGATCCCTGGTACAAAAAAAAAAAAAAAGAAAGAACAAGACTAAATCCTATCAATCATTCAACAAATGTTAATGGACTAAAATGCTCTAGTTGAAGGGCAGAAACCATTTTACAGGAGGAAGACAGATCCAAGGGCTAGACTCAGCTTTTTTACAAGAGAAATGTTTTCAATACAAGGAACTAAGTTAAGCTGAGGAAATGTGTATATAACTTGACATATCACGTGAGCACTAACCGTAAGAAAGCTATTACAGTTAAGTCAACATTTGAAAAAGCAAATGCAAGGCAAAAAGTATTACTACAGAAGAGACATACTTTGTAAAAACAAGAAATCTGGGGCAAGGATTTAGCTCAGCGGCATAAGCACCTGCCTGGCAAGCGCAAGCTCTTGAGTTTGATCTCCATACCAAAAACAGAAACAAAAACAAGAAATCAAATACTCTAAGAAAATCCTAAATAAATGAACCTAGAGCCCTCAAAAGACTAATGATTAAAAAAATACTAAAACAAAAATAACCAATATCATCACATTTTTCTTCTGTAGTGGAGAGTGCATTAACAGAATTACTGAAAAACTACCAAGATTCATCAGGCATTAGGGAAATTAAAAATATCATTTCTAAATCCTCCTAGTGACCAAAATTAAAGAATCTGATACTGTCAAGTATCAGCACTACTGTAAGCTCCAGAGACCTGTGAACCAGTGTGGTTACTTGGGGGAACAACTGATCTTTCCCCAGTGCAAATAATTGTGTGCAATTTCTTCCACTGGCAATGCCATCCCTGGGGCACAACTGACAAAAGACTGGTGACACACGCCAATGTAAGATGGAGAAATCTGGAAATATGTCAAGTGTCCAGCAAAAAAAGGAAATAAACAAAACACGGTTCAACCTTCTGTGCAAGAAAGGAATACAACAGACCTGCACATTCACCTGTGAAGGTAAAGTGTGCACACAAAGAACACAAAGTGAACCTGCATAAATACTTGCAAATGCAGTGTGCTTATACAACAATCTCTAAAGTAGTGAAGGAGCATGCCACAGTACCAACAAGGTCAAATCCCCCAAAAGTAAAGTTATATGAGAAGGGTAACCACAGGTGACAATGAGCATGATATTACCCAAATTACTTGTTCCTCTGAAGAAAGAGGAAGAAGTCTGGATATAGGGAACAAACTTCTATTTACAGTATCATTATTTCATAAGTGTATATTATGAGGCAGGTATGACAAAATGTTTTAAAAACTACACAATGTGTACTGTACTCTATGTTTGCCATGTTACTCTGCAACTTTCAAATATATATATATGTTTCCCAAGAGAAAAACAGAACATCCGTGGAATTAAAGTATTTTTATGACTAATTCTAAGAAACAGACTTGCTAAGTGTGGTGGGGCAAGCCTACAATCCCAGCACTCAGGCAGCTGAGGCAGGAGGATTGCTGCAAGATCAAGACCAGCCTGGGCTACAAAATGAATTTAAGAGTAAACTGCACAGTGAAAGACTGTCTCAAAGGATAAAACAAAACAAAACAAAAATGACTAATGAAATTAAGTCAAATAACAAAATTACTATATATTTAAAAACCAAATAAGATAAAACAATTATTAGAATAAGGAAAATACTAAAATTGACAGTACAGAGATGAAAATTAATTTTTTGGTTTGTCTATTTGTTTGATACCAGGGATCAAATTCATGACCTTGCACTTGCCAGTCAGGTGCTATGCTGCTGAGCTATACCCCTGGCCCATAAAAATGATTTTTAAAAGTTTATTACAGTATTCATTTGTTAACTGCACATAATCAACATTCTTCCAATTTTAAGATGATTCTACTAACTTGAATGAAACTCTACATGTACCACAGGCAAAGAAACAACACAAAAATTGCTCTCTTGATGCTAAGCCTATCTGCAGCACCTCCCTGCAACTTCACTGAACACTCAAGAACCAGCTTAGGCCTCAAATGTGGAGCCCTGGAGGTCTGCACCACTGGAAGCATGATAAGCATTTCCCTGTAAGTACTTACATCAGTTCAGAATTCCACTATTCTCCCCTTTTAATGTAAGCATGATACTTGTTGTTGTTGACAACCACCCTCCAAGGGACAAGAAACATTCCTCCACCACACTTGTGAGCCAGTGCACAGCACTCTGCACTGTTCATGTTCAGGAAGCAGGCTGTTACAAGCAGAACCACAGTTACCTGCAATTCACTTTGGGGACAGTCAGTCGATGTTGCCATAGTTCACTTAGGCACTGCCTCATAACTGATGCTTTTATTATTTCATTTTCTCGTCCATTTCTACTTTAAAAGAGAAACACAAAGTATATGTTACACTGCTTGATAACTAAATTCACTTTACCTGTAAGTCCTCTACCAAAAAAGTATGTCAACAGTACAGAAATGGAATCTTTAGGGACAAGTGAAAGAAAGCATTTAAAAATTATACAAACTTCAATTTGTGTTCTATTTCCTACACGGTGTTAATCTGCAGCTTGTTACTTTCTGTTAGATCACCATGTTGATTTGTGACAGCAAAGCCAAGCCTACTCTATCCCTGTAACTGTTAGCTTTACCGCCACTTAAAATCCCCTGCCTACATTGGGGTGGTTGCACATGCCTGTAATCCCAGCACTAGGCAGGCTGAGGCAAGATGATCTTTGCAAATTCGACACCAACCTGGGCTACAAAGTGAGCTCAAGATCAGCCTAAACTGCATAGTGAGACTCTGCCTCAAAATGTAAATAAAGACACTTGCGTTGCCCTCAAAGTGTTCTCATCTGCAAAATCAAGGCCAGCTCAGGCAGACCCTTTCCCCCTCAACCTCACTTTCTAAGCGAATTCTGGGGTATATATATTTGACCATTACAAGTAATTATTTGTTCAAAATTGTGTTTGACATCTAAATCAAGGTTGATACTAATTTATATACATTTAAAAGAACAGTCTAGGCCAGGATTGGCTGCGGCAGCAGGGGGCGTATACGGAACTCTAGAATACAAGTTCGGGTGAGGGCCAGGAGGGCGTGGCTCCCATTCAAAGACTTCCCGCTGGTACCGGCGAGGGCAATGCTGGCCCAGGATGCCACCTTAGGAAGAGCTCCGGTCGCGGGAAGTGGGCGGGACAGGCGCCCAGCTCGCGAGGGCCCAGGGCTTAGAGCCCAATGGGGTGGGAGGGGCGCTCGCGGAGGTCTCGAAAACGATCCGGAAGCAAGGGTCCACCAGTAACGATATGCAAGGCGAGGCCCCCTTATTTAGGATGTACTGCCTCACTTGCGGTAAAGCTGCCTGAGCTGCCCATCAGAAAACCTACCTCGCCCTCGTTTCTCCGTTGAGTTATGAGCATTCACCGCGGAGGGGCGTCCGGACCCCACCCGGCGCCTGTGCCACCGCCCACCACCCGCGCAAGCGCAGTGAGCACAAATCCTCGGAGCAGTGGGTCCCGCCCAAGGCTGTGAAGTCCCGCGCAGGCGCAATCCGCAAGTGCCTTGCAATCTAGAGACGGCGAACCCGGGTTTAGGATACACACAGGTACATTGTGCATACTCAGGCCTATAGCTCCTGCAATGCAAATGCGCTTCACGGCGACGACTCCGACGCCTAGCGAGGCGGGTGCGGCTGCTGAGTGTCGGCTCCGAAGTCAGCGACAGCGGAGTGTGGCTGCTGCTGTGGTGCCTGGCAGGCCTTCTGGCGTGACCGCTGCCTCAAGGAACAGGCGTTGTTTCCGGCGCTCGCGCAGCGGCCACTGGGAGACCGCGCGAATTCCGCGAACTGGACGGGGACTTCGAGAGTGAGCGATCTCGCGTGGCTCGGCCGCGCGCTAGCCTGTGGCGGGGGTGGCCATCTCTAGTCCCTGCATCAGGAAGACCGCACTGCGCGGTTGTAGCCGTGCACGCCTTGGCCCTAGGACCCCAGTGGTGACCGGTGCAGTGGCCTGGAAAAGAGCCTGTGAGGAAGCCGGGACCTCGCGGCTTGCGGGCAAACACCAGCAGTCTGAGCCAGAGGGGGGCTGAGTTGGGTCCGCGCAGCGTGTGCGCGTACAAGGCTGCAGCCTCCCGAAGACCCTTGCCCGGTTTTACAGGTCTGTCTGAAGAGAAGTTAAAGCGCTGAGCCGGAGCTTCCTAGCCCAACAGAGGCCCGCCAGGGTCAGTTGGCAGTTTTTAGAAGCACAGGAGCAACGGAATGGGCCCAAAGTGGAATGGACTTGCAGACAGCAACTCAGCATCTCCAACACAACCCCCAGCAGCCTGACTAATTAGGAGAGGGACTCCCTGATAGATGACATTAGGCATAAATCCGATCTGCATTAAATCAATTATTGGGTATGTGAAGCAGGGAAAGTAAACCATAACCGAGAAAAATGTACAAGTAGAAATACTGATGATCAAGATTCTGGAGTTGACAGACAAGGACTTAAAATGAAAATTGGTATGTTAAATTTTTAAGGGAAAGATGGACAAAATAGGTAAAGAGAAATTGATATAGAAAATAAGGACATACTTTTAAAGACAAATGTGTAAGTTCAGCTAAAATTTCATGATACCCAAAATGACCAACACGTGGCAGAGTGGATGTAGCAGAGGTAGGAACAAAGAATCCCATCTAAGCAATTTATCCATACTGGCACACAAAAAAGAACTAAAAAAAGCACGAGATGGTATTATTCTCTTATTAAATACTCAAAAAGAGCAGAGGTTAAAGCAAAAGAAATATTGATCTCTAAAAATCACAGAGTTAAGTGAAATCAAGCCAGAATTACCAGGCATTTAGCTTAGCAGCCCAGGCGCTTTCCTGGCAAGTACAAGGTGATGAGTTTGATCCCCAGTACCAAAAACAAAAAAAAAAAAAAAATCGAGCCAGAATTTATACAAAGAAAACTGCACAGTTGTATCACAGTCGTATCACAGTAAAACTGAAAATCGATAGTTAATGAGAAAATCTTAAAAGCAGTACAAGAGAAAGACTACCCGCAAAGATCAGCAGGAGTTTAGGGATATGACAAAGAAAAGGCACCCTTAAAGTGCTGAAAATAGTGATCTACTAAACCCAACTGCAGTGCCTGTTACAAAGAAAGTCAAGATAAATTTGTCTTCAGATAAAATCTGAGAATCTGACACAAACAAACCTCCATAAAAGAAATGTAAAACGGTCCAAATTAAAGAGATCTCATAACTACAGGAAAAAAGAGGGCCAGAAAGTATGAATAAGTGAATAAATACATGTTTAAGGTTTTTCCTTATGAACTGATGTTTACGATATCAGTGACAAGAGCAAGGGGACTAAGAGGAATTAAACTTGTACATTGCATCTTTATTAGGAAGCCAGAAAAGTATAGTAACTTTAGGTAGGTGAAGAGTGCATATTCATCTCACAAAGTATAGTAATGAAATAGAAAAATATTGATAGACAAGGTAAAAGAATGAAACAGGATGAATGAAAAACAAGTAAACCAAGTTTATGTATAATAATATTAAATAGAAAAATATGCCATTTAAAAATTTTTTATTTTAGATTTAACTAGACAAAAAAATGATGCAAAGGGATAAGAAGGACTACCTCACAACACAATAACATTTTAAAGAGCTAATGTTAAATAATATCACTGAAGAGCTTTATTTCATAATAAAATCAAACAGGAATTCTAAATAACAAAGCTTCAAAATATGTAAATTAAAATTTCAAAAAATATAACTCAAAGGAGAAGCAGCCTAGATAAAGTTGAAATTTTTACACTGCACATAACTCAATATACATTCAAATTCAACCAATATATGTACTATGTTAGTATAGTGTGTGATATTGTGTCTATCAGTATATACCACTAATGAAAGAGTACACACTATTTTCAGGTACACAGAATGTTTCAACAAAATAGACCATGATGGGTTAAAAGGCAAATTAAGTCTGGCAGATGTTGACATGGTCCTATTTTTCCTCCTGGTGTTCCTGCTAGCATTGAGTGAACTAGTTGAATGCCAAGACTGGTCATGCCACACAGACATCAGGAGGGCATTAAAGAAATTGTAATATATATAAGCAGCAGAGACCACTAAACTTGTGTAAAGGCAACATGGCATGGGTTCAGGCAGAGAGTAAGATCCTCTGCCCCAAACAGAACAAAGAGAAGTGTTTCCCTTTTACAGGAATGAAGAGAAGGTAGAGGACATTAGGCAGAAAGAGCCCAATGAACATCTGTGGTAAAAGTTATCTGACAATCTTGCACTTCGTTGAGTATAGTTCTTTAAAATGTCCAATGTTATGGCCAGGGATTTAGCTCAGTGGTGGAAGCACCTGCCTGGCAAGTACAAGGTTATGAGTTCAATCCCCAGAACCAAAAAAAAACCCCATATGTCCAATGTAGATTTTCACGTGTCTTGAAATATTCCCAGTGTCTCCATGACCTCAAAATTCCTTGTCCTTGATAGAACTGTGGGGGACCGGTGGCGGCTGAAAAGATAAGAAGCATGAAATATAAATGACCTTTATTTTGAGAATGCGGGGAGAGACACCCCCGACCCCCGACCCCCCGGGGCACGACGGGGGGCGGGGGGTTCAGCGATCTCTCCATGGCCCACGTGGAGTGAGGCACATAAGTAGCCTCGGCTTGGGGTGGAACCTAAGGGGGCATTAGGGATGCACAGGTAGCCCATTGGTCTGGGCCAAAACCCTTTCAGTCCTGTCTTTATCTCTTCCTGTATTTGCCAATGACAGCCTCAGGTGCTGAGCTGAATTCCCTGCAGAGTAGTGCTTCTGCTGGCAAGCAAGCTGGAGGCTGGGAAAGTTAGGTCCTGTTGGAGATTTAGAGAAATGAATACTCCTATTATGGTATTTTGATTAGAGCAGACGTCATGCAAGCTGATTAAGAATTGGCTTTTTAAAAAGGAAATGAAATGATGTGGCAGTCTCCTGTAATGCTAACTACTCTGGAAGGTTGAGGCTGTCATTGACAAATACAGGAAAAGACCACTCTAGGGACTGAGTCTGACAGCCAGTAGCTAGCAGGAAACAAGGTTTAGTCTACAAAACCTCAAGAAATCCAGTTTCTCTAACAACCAGTATCAGTGTGCTAGGACTACCATGACAGAATACCACAAACCAGGTGACTGAAACAACAGACATTTATTGTCTTGTTTCTCAATGCAGGAAGTACATAAATCGAGTGCTGGAAAATTAGGTTTCTGGTGGATGCTCTTTTTCTGGCTGTTTCCCTGCCTTTCTTCTGTGCATACCCAGAGACTCTGGTATTTGAAGGACACTAAGCCCTAGTCCATTATAACCCCACCTTTATGGCCTCATTGAGTTACCACCCTTAAGACCTAACCTTCAAATACAGTCACATTGGAGATTAGCTTGAACATATGAACAGGGATGGGGGGAGGCATATTTCTATCCATAGTACAGCCTCCAACACTAGGAAACAATATTATTTTTCCAAAGTAATCATCCAAGAGAAATGAAAATATATATTTGAAACAAGTCTTGCCCAACAATGTTTATGGTAACTTTAATCATATTAACAAAAAATCAAAAAAGGTAATATTTAAATGACATCCATTTGATTGGAAGATAGACACAAAAATTGTGGTCTATTAGTATAATGGAATACTACTCAGGAACATATGTTGCAAGAGCATACCCGGCTTGGACTAACAGAACTGAAACCACTGAAATTGAAACAATGCCTCTTGTGACCCCCAACTTCTTTTGAGCCAGAATGATGCTGATGAAGCTACCCTTTGCAAACTCAGAGGGTTTCCTATAGAAAAGGAAAGTTGTTTCATATGGCAGAGTCACATGCTTTGAATGGACACTCACAGGGCAGTAAAGAGCACTGGAGTGGGAGTGCCTTCTTGGAGCAGAGTCAGGCTCTACCCAAAGAACACATCCTGTGAGGCACTTCACAATAAATGCCCTGCAGGACTTCAAGATCATTGTGAGCCACAACTACTTTGCACTTTGCCTTCACCATTTCAAATGGCAGCATCATCTAGCTGCGTAGATGTGTGGAGAGGTAGAGATCAAAGTATTTTGTTAGTTCCAGATCTGGAACAAGCTAAGATAGCTGAGGATCCTCAGATACTTTTGGGTATGGTTTAATTCATTAGACCTAAACTCAAGACTGGCATCAGGACTGGATGAGACTTTGAAGGTCCTGGAATGGGCAAATTTGGGGGTTTTCTTTTTGAAAATTTTTGTTTGAGAAATGTAGATGTTTGAGGATCAAAGGACTAATTGTGAAAGATTACAAGAATAGATATTCTACTCTGCAGTTTTCTGTTATTGTTGAAAGCTCTAAAAGCTTTGCCATCATTATACTATAGCCTATACTAGATTCTTGCCGTGGGATTGCTCCCAGTGTGGCTAAAGGTACCAAGTGTTTGCAAAATTGAGATCATACTCTTACAGCACAAAATTGACAGCTCATCACTTTTGGTTTTCTGTGGCTCAAAGCAAATCATTTGTCTTGCCCACTCCAAGGAAGGGACAGCAATTGCATGATTTGACTACTGACAGCCAATGTTCAAGCCTAACCTCCATTTCCCCTTCTGGAATCAGGTAAGAAAACTTTCCCGCCTTCCCTTGGGGCCAATGTGAAGTGTATACAAGAAAATTTCCCTGTCCCTGTGCCCTAACCACAAGAAACTCAGGCCACCTGCTTCTTTCTTTGTGTACTTGTGTATGTGTGTGGTTCTGGGAATTGAGCCCTGGGCCATTACACTGAGCTACATAGGCAGCCCTTTAATTTTCTTTTATTATTTTGAGACAAGGTCTCACTGT